CTACTTAAATACGGTGTTCCGAAACGCGAAATAAATCGTCTCTAATGGTTAATGAGCGATACTAGGATCGTAACGGGCAGTCGTACGCGATAAACGAGACCTCTCGAGTACAAACCGTTAGGCCGTTTCGCGTTCTCGTTCTCGTTCTCGTTCGGGGATGGGAGATCGTTCCGTCGACGATTCGACAAGCGCGCTACGATATACGACGCAAAAACTGTTTAACGCTCCGAAGGTTTTCGTAATCGGCTAACCGTTCCCGGCTGAAAGTACTCTGATTTACTTTGGAACCGCGTTACAGGACGAAGAGATAAGTCTAGACTCGAAATTCGTAAACCTAATACCATACGGTTACGCTAGATCTATGGAAAACAAGTTCGACCTGATACATGCTTGAATAGAATTGAAAAAACTTGGATAACGCGAATATCTGGAAGTCCTAATAACAAAGTGACGGGCACTCCTCCGTTCGTCTGACGTCTCGAAGCAGCTCCGTCCTCTTCCTGATATTTTAGGAGGAGTTCGTCCGCCTCCGACTCCGAAGTTTCCAAAATCGCCTGTCCCTGGACGTATGATGAATAGAAATAGTGTTTTGTGCTTTGGATCCCTTCTCGGGCATGTACATCCTGAGGAGTTTCGCGGCGCGCTCCTCCTGCGACCTGTCCGCGGCCTTCCCGCTCAAGAAGCTGAGCAGCTTCATGCTGCGCCTCTTGATCCTCAACCGGTTCAGAAAGTTCTTCTCGGAAGTTCTGGTCGGGCTGCTGTCGTTCTGCTCGTCGGAGTCGTCGTCGAGCTTCTTCGCCTTTCTCTGGAGCAGCTCCATCTGCCTCCTGCGATCGTATTGGCCCTCGCCCCGTCTGTACCTGCGGCCTCTGAGATCCCCGGGCTCGGAGACGGAGTACGCCGCCTCTCTCTTCGCTCGCTCGGCCCCCAGTCGCTCGGCGTTCCTGTTGCTGGTCTCCTCCGCCCTTCGGGCCACCGATTCGAGCTCCCTCAGCCGGTCCGCTTCCTTGGAGCTCTTCAGGGTGTCCGACGAGGCGGTCTCCGTGGTCGCACAACCGTCGTCCACGTCCGACAGCTTCCTGTGAAGATTGACGATCTTCCTGCGGAACTCTTCGTCCTCTTGGCTCAACTTGGCGAAGATGCGATCCCGGTCGGTCGCGTCGGAGCTGGAGCCGACGCTCTTCGACGTCGTCGTTTGAAACCTCTGTCACCACCATCCCACTTGATCCTTCCCGCTGCCGGGCGAGTCCTCCTCCTCCGGGAGCGGCTCCAGCCTCCTCCTGCCCAGGAAACACCTGAGCGAGCTGAGGCTACCGCTGCCGAGCAGCTGGTCCATGTTCAGCTCGGGCAGGCTGCAGTCCTCGTTCTCGGACTCCTGGTCGGCGTCGTCCTCCGTGGACAGGTTCAAACCGTAGTTGTCCTCGCCGGAACCGGCCGCGTTGCCCGCGCCGTTCGGCGGCGGCTATGGAAGTCAGGCACAGCTCGGGCTAGTGATTCTTTGGAAAGAAAGGGCAAGCATTGTCATGCAGATGCGTGCGAAGCTTACCAACTAACTGTTCTCTCTTAAGCGGACACTCTCTCGTTACTTTTTATCTGATTCGTGCTAGCTGAAGGTGTAGGATCGCCCAACGGGCTCGTTCACGCGCGGACAATGCTTCCAACAGATTTGCATCGCGATCGTTCGAGATTGGATACACGAGAATTGCGGTGTGGCTGACAAAAGGGGGACAGGGTGAAACAGAGGGATGGAGAGATAGAAATAGAGTAGAAGAAGAAGAAATAGAAGTAGAAGTAGAAGAAGAAGCAGTCTTTGAGAAACTAAAGATATCTTACCTCTGCAAATCGCAAGCTTAGTTTGTACGTGGGGTTCGGAGAGAAGGGAAGAGTTATGATTAGGAGGAAAACTCGCGCTACAACTCGGAGAGTTTTCTATTGGCAAACGGCCGCGACGAAGCGAGTTGACGGTGCGCGAAGCGGAGCGAGTTGCTTAAAGTTTGGCTGGATCGCTCGCGTCGTCGAATTGATCGAAGCACGTACCGATCGGCATTTGCTCGAGCTCGCGCCAGTACCTTCGAATGCCGACGTATCGTACGATCTTGAAATAGTCTGTATGATTACCGAACTCGCGGGGAAGCTCTCGTCGTCGGGACCACCGGAGGTCGGCGTTCCCCAGATATCATCACCGGAGGTAGCTCCGGATGTCGTTCCCTCCTCGTCATTCGGGTCCAACGAGTATTCCGTTCTCTCCGGTGGCACCGGCGGCTGAAGAAGATATCCACCGACACCTTCGCTCAGCTGCTCGAGCAAAACCATTTTACTGACCACGTAGCTGCTCGCTCTGGCTGTCCAGGCTCTCAGACCCGTCGGCGGAGACTCGGTATCGCGGTTCTCCTCGTCCCCCTGCTCCTCGAGCTCGTCGTCCTGATCCAGACTGCTCATCGTGCCGAACCTTCTCAGCGCTCTGGAAGATCGCAAGGTAACAACTCGCTCCGATCAACGACCTCTCTCTCCGACGCTCACCTGTAAGGCGGTTCACCGTCGCAGTCGAGGTCGTCCTCGCTCCCATCCTCCGTGTTGCCGTCGGCTGGAGTGTAGCTGGGACTGTTCCGACCGGGACTGTCGTACAACCCGTTCCTCAGCCTGTGCTTGGTGCAGAGGTCAGGCGTCGGCGGCACCACCGAGATCTTCGGCGGCAGCGGCGAGAACGGGTCCCTCGTCAAAGGCGGCGTCGGGCAGCCCGATCTAGACGGATCGACAGATCGCGAACAAACTTCTCCAACAGCCTGGAGAATATTCTCGATATGCCCGTTACCTGTGACACCTTCGACAGATGTTGATGGAGCTCGTCGAGTTCTCTTTGGACGAGCCCAGGCTGCCGTTCTTCTTCGTCGACACGCTGTTGGACTTGACGGTGCTGAGACTCGCGCTCGACGCGGTGCTCTGCTGCTCCACGTCCGAGTTCCCGACCTCCGTGACGACCTCCTCGGCCGGAGTGTTCTGACCTCCGTCCGATTCGCCGATGCTCTCCTTCGGAGCCCTCGCCGCCAGCTCCTCCGCCGTCCATTCCTCGATCGGAGCCTCCTCGTGATCCGGCGGCGGGATCTGGTGCGAGTTGCGCACCCATTGCGCCAGGTGATTGTCTTCCCGCGAGTTCTTGATGATCGTCTCGATACTCTCCGCGGAACGGGACTCCTTCTCCTCGTCGGGCTTCGGCGTTTCCCTGATGGTCTGCGTCACGCGACGCGATCAGAACCGAGGTTCTCGTCTACAGGGTGTATCGAAGTAACATGTCGCGACCACGGCGGTGTGATACACCTTCGATTCGATCGAAAGGATTCAAGCTAAGTTCATTCTGCTACTACACCGTTTTACACATTGCGGAGTTTTTCTCTTTGTCTAAAAAGAGCTGTCGCGACATACATTTTGAAACACCCTGCACAACACGCGACACGTCTCAAGAACACACCAACTCTCTCTCTCTCGACTCACCTGCGAGCTTTCCGTGGACTCCCTAATGGTGGCGAAATTGCTACCAGTGATCGGACTCTCTTCCGGACTGTCCTGGCTCGGCGTCCCCCCGTATCCTGTATTCACATAGATTCTAAAATACAACGGATTAGTGCAGTGCAAACGAAAGGTACGGCCTGCCGGATGCGTCATCGAGACGCCTCATCGCGTGGCTTCGTGCCCTTACATTTGCCGCTGAAGGAGGTTGTGCCAGACGGCTTTCAGCTCCGGGGTGGGAGCGCGTAGAACCAGCACCCGCCTCCGCGGCCGACTGTGGGGGCTGCAGCCACCGCTGTTGCTCACTTCCACGTGGCCGTTCTCGTTGTTCCCGTTCGGGTTGATGGCGACCTGCAGCCGGAACTCGGTCGGCCTCTTGCGGACCGTGAAGCAGGCCTCGGCGACGTTCGACAGCCGCAGGGGCTCCTCGGTCACGAACAGAACGCGGTCCCTGGAGACGCGAGCGAACACCAGGAGGTCGGTCAGCAGCAGGGCCCAAGAGGGCTGCAGGCGGGCGCGGCCTTCGACCTTCGCGAGCGCACCCCCGAACAGCCTGCAACGGTACACGGTTCGGAAAGCGGAAAATCTAGAACGGAGGATGTTCGGCAACGTCGACCGACCATTGTCTTCCGGGCATCGCCAAGGTGAATGGTCTGCATCTCGCGAAGACCAGTCGGGACTCGACTTCCTGCAAGCTGAGCAAAGGTCTGCCAGTGTCGCGGGGCGGTTCCATGACCCCGGCGTTCGCCGTCGCCTCCCTGTACCCCTGAGCGAGGTCTCGCGCTTGCTGGCAGTTCCTCGGCGAGGCCAGTCCCAACAGTCTCGTCATCTCTCTGAAACGGAAACCCTCGATGACTCGCGGCACGAGAATCGGAATCCCCTAACGCAGCGGTTCTCGACTTCTGGGTGCGCGTCGATGATATTAACTCCAGGTTGTTTTGTTATCAGCAACTGCAACTAATTTTTATAGTATCTCTGGTGCAAATGAGAAATGCTATAACATACCTTCTATCTTTTAATAAAAATCTAATAATTTATAACAGAAAATCTAATAATAGTAGGTTCTTTAATTCATTAAAATATTTAATATTATAACTGGTGCAATCTTGGAACCTAGAGTACAAAGGGTTAACAATGACGGAAAATGCCGAGGAAGAAGTTACAAGGCTGCTGTTGTAAGAGAACTCGAATCGCGAAGTACGCGAGAAACGAAAGCCTACGAATGTTGAATAGTTCGATCGTTCAGCTAACCCGAGAATCGAGGAAGAAAGAAAGTTTGTCAAGGGATCAACGGCACTGACAAATGAATTTGAGAACCGCTGCCCTGATGCGTACCTATAGTGCTCCAGCGGCAGAAGCAGTACGCCCGTCAGGTCGGGTCGCCTTTTCTGCGGAACGGCGGGCTCGCAGACGAGTTTCGCGAACGCCGTGTTCCTCCTGAGGGCGACCAGAAGGCAGCAGGCCCGTTGCAGGCCGCTCAGGTATCTCCTGTAGGCGGCGGTGATTCGCGGGACCCTGCACAGGTAACTGTCCACCCCGCCGCCCTCGTCGCGTATCTCCTCGGAGATCTTGAGCAGTTCGTCCAGGTTTTGGAAGAGTATCAGGTAGTCCGCGGCGGAGAGGACGTCTCGCCTCTCGGCCAGCGGCGCCATGAAACGCGTGTGCCCGCTCTTCAACACGCCCCAGTACCGCGTCTCTCTGACGGTCAGCTCCTCCTCGGGCGGCGCGTCGGGCGCCAGGTTCGGGAAGACCTGAACGCGAGCACTCGGAAAACTTGCGCTCCGCTCCAGCTTGAACGGTATCGCGGAGCATGCAGGACGAGACTCCGTCGCAACGACGCTGGTAACTCTCGCGCTGGCAACCGGATACCTTGATACTCGATTTTTCATTCGTCGCTCCGTATCTTGGACAACGATCGAAGATATCGCGACACTGGAGCTCGAATACAGACACTCCGGTTGCCGACGCGAAGGTCACCCCTTGCACTACGAGTCAAAGATCACCGGGATTTCGCTAGTGAAACGTCGATCGGACGTTGAATTAAACATCCCGAATGAAACGGTAGCGCAAGGGGCGGACTGTGCCAAGGGAGGGACAAGGGTGGAAGAAATAAAGAAAACGCAATGGTTTGAAACAGAACTTGTTGAACAACAAAAAAAGTAAAAGGAAAAAGACGACCGTCGTCGTTACAGAACATAACTTAAGCCGCGGCTTAACTACGCACCAGTTCGACGCTAATCGTAGGTGGTACTTCGGAGTCGCAACGAGGAATGCACGGGGAACGAGGCGCGCGCGGCATGCCGAGCAACGAAACGCGAAACAAGCCCCGAGAGTCAGCGCATGCAGCGTGTCGCGGCCCGTTCCTGGCGGGAATCGAACGAAGATCGACTGTTTCTCTACGCGACACACTCTGAGCAAAAACATCGACGCGACAGATCCACGGTGAACGATCTCCGAACGGTCCGCCGGGTTCCGCGGTGATCGGACAGGCGAATCATACGGTTAAAAGTAAAAGAAAACTGTTGGCAAGCGAAGCTAGGAAGAACCGAGACGCTCCCCGGTGTGTCTCTCTCGCAGGTCCCCGTTCCTCGAGAAATCGCGCTCGACGCGGCGAGGGCTCAAGGCTCAGACGAGGACGCCGGTACCGACCTCGGCGTTGAACGCGACCGCGTGCTGTCCACCGGAGACCGGCTGCTGCAGGCTGACGTTCATCGAGCTGGGTCGGTGCATCGACGAGTGAACGTGTCCTCCCTTCCGGTAGACCTCGAGAATCAGCTGATTCGTGGCCGCCTGGATCAAGCCGAGGATCTCCTCCCGCGGCCGCGTCACCACGTTCGTCGTGTCCACGAAGACTACGTGGTCACCTGGCCTCAGGCCGGACCGCTCCGCCGGGCTGCCGGGGTCCACGCGCTCCACGCGGGGCGGCCTTCCCCAGGACAACGAGAATCCCCATGGCACCTGCGACACAGCGTGACATTCCTATCTGTTCGTGCCTATCGATTTCAGAGATTTCAAACGGTTTCACGGTGTTAATCCTATTCAACATCTCCCGGTGTAATCCTCTTTAACGCGCCCACCGCCACGAGAATTTTGCCGCTTTGCGTAACGATGCCTCTTTCGTGACGAACGCCGTTAGAAATTTCCATTGGAAACAACGCTGTCGAGCGTCGGGAATCATCGATCGGTCGACAGTGTACCGTTACACCGTTGTTCGGTTACGAGGTATTTTCATTCGTCAACGTCCTCGTCGTCGCAATCGTTCCGAGGCGACTCGGCGCGGCGGTGAACGCGTTAAATAGTGTTTAAGTCGAGATTTCCTCCGGTTGAAAAGCGCCGACGGGGAGCGACACTCTTGGGACGGCACGGTCGAGCCGCGGGAGGGCGTTCGACGACGAGCTGCGACAGGGGGTCTCTCGAGAGCCGCCACATAGGGAGCGCTGCCTCGCTAAAGACGTCGACAGCGGGGTTTAAAAGGAGGCCCACTTTCAGACTCGAGATCGGGCCTATTGCCGCGGCCCCGCTCGAGAATGCGAGCCTGCTGCGAGTCCCACTGGGTAATCGCTAATCGCGCGACACGACAATTGAGCCTCGGCGAATCGGTTAACTCCGCTGCTCGAGCTTTTTTTCAGATTCCGAATAATGAATGCGCTCGATTGGCTATTAAGTCTGTACGTGTGAAACAGGTTTATCGACTCCGCGCATAGAGAGGAGTTTTCCTAGGCAATAGGGGTGGCTAGTTAGCGTGTCGGTTAGCTACCTGGTTAGCTGTCGTCTGTCTGATCAGTCTCCTCGTGACGGTGCAAGGTGTCCTGCCGCCTCTGGCCGTGAACCCCGGGTGCAGCGGTAAACCGGTCAAAGGATCGATCGGTTCCAATTCGAGGTGCCTCAGATACGTCAAGTTCTCGCCTCCCGAATTATTATTATCTGGTTCCCCGTCCTTGGACAGGGGCGGCGAGACTCCGCAATCCTGCGGCATGCCCGCGTACAGACTGCTCGTGTTTCGTCCGGTTCCTGGTTCTAGCGGATGCCATGTCGCTTCCTGAAAATTCACGGTGCCCTTGAGAATCTGCGATCCGGCGGGGAGCCCCCGGCGACTCGGTTACCTCGGGACGCATGGTTCCGCTCGGAGCACGCTCGCCAGCGTGTACCGTCGACCGAGGGTTTCCGGGAATATACACGATCTCCCGTCCCCGTTCGCGACGCGTCCCCGACGGTTACTCGGCCCGTCCGCGCGTCGGGCGCGCGGCGAAGTTCCCACGATCGTTCCCCGGCATGACTGCGCGGTTCAGCAGAACACGAAGATCTTGAGGAGTACGCCGATCACGAAGAAGACCACGCAATAAATCGCCACCACGATCATGTTCGCCTTCACGCGTCGCGGAGCAAAATCAACGACCGGTTCTAATTGGCCCGCCAAGAGTCTCGGACAGCGGCGCGCACCTGTCACTTTTAACGAGGTCAAAACGCGAGTGAATCTCCGCCGGACAACGTTCCGCTCCGTTGCCCCGTAACCAGCTTAACCCTGACCTTAAGCCGGGAAGACTTAGGAGTCGCGATAAACAGCTGACGCGCGATGCCCGTCGAACTTCCTCGTCGAGTTCTCCTCGTCGGGCCGGAGACGAAAAGCTTCGCGACGCGATCGGGGGAACCGGTCGGTCGACGGGACCGGGACTCGTGTCCCGAATGGATCTGGTTAGTTACCTTGTCCTGCGATAGCGGTAGAGGCAGAGTCATGCAGCCCAGCAGTTCGCTACGTCTGAAACACAAAGAACGAAGGCGTGCATGAGGAGTCCGTATCGAAGCACGCGCGGATGCACGTATCGGCCGATGCAGCCCCTCGGCTCGTGCGTGTGTGTGTGTGTCGGAACGCGTACGTCATACTATCGGTAGTGGCTCGGCGTGCATGTGTCGCGGCCGCATACACGCGACTTTTCGACTATTTACACGGCCGGGGGGGAGCGGGCGGAGGAGGTCGGAGGGCGGTCGCAAACAGCGTTGCAGAGACGCGCGGATGTGACGAAGTGCACGTGGCGAGCGCGGTGCGCATGCTTCCAGGGAATCGATTCCCCTCCTACCGCATGGAATCCGCGTATACCCCAGAAATTCGTTTCGGCGTGCGGATGGACCGTTGCCTCGGCGTCGACGGGAAAACTATCCCGCTTCGGGACCGACCGCTTATCGACCGGCGAATTACCTTTGCACGCCGGCTGGCCCGGGATCCCGGCCGTCAACGGGAGCATCGGGTTCACGAGGACGCGGAGCAGCTCCGCGACGACGCTACGGCAGCGAGAGTCGCAGTTCTTGACCCCGATAACTCCTCGGCGCGTGCTTCCGTCGACCGCCGACGCGAACTGGCGACCATGTTCCCTCGGCTGGTGCACACGGCCGACGAATCACGCCGGCCAACCGCGACCTCCCTCGTGCGTCCGCTGCGAGCAGAGATTCCTCGGGCAGAGATGCACGCGGACGCGGCGGCTCGCGTGAGATCGGTATCTCGCGGGTACGCGACGCGATCCACTGTCGCCGCCGAGTTATTCGGCCGAGAGAAGTGCTATCCGCGCCCGGAACGCGCCGCGCGGCGCACGAACGTACCGATCGCGGGCCGAGGCAGAGCGGCGCCGCGTCCGGATATCGGGGACGGAGGCGCGAGAGTTCCGACCGGAGCGATTCCGCGCGAGTCCTGTCGGTCCGCGGCGCGCGACCGAGCAGCGAGCCCCACTCCGTTATGTCTCATGTTTTTGGAGCATGCTCACCTTGCGCGACGATCCCTGTGCCACACCGCGATGTCCAGGGACGTAGGCTTGCTGGCGCAGTGATTGTTGCTCGCCGGACAGGGCAGTATCAAGGTCTCGTGGAAAACGGGATTCGGCGTGGCCCTGTGCACCGCTGTCCTCTTCACCACCCCCTCGCCGTTCGTGTTCTTCAGGCTCGCCTTCACGTAAGCGTGGACCGGGCCCTCGTATGCCCTCCTGAGGTCCTTGCACCGTATCACTGCACCGGAAAACAAACGATCAGCTAGGATACCGCCGCAACGGCCGGAGGATCCCTCGCGGGTCTTGATCGGCGGGACAAGCGCGGGGGACACGAGGTGTGGGGAGATTGGCCGAGAAATGCGGCTCCGATCGGTCGTCGTCCTGCTTACGATTTCCATTCGTCGACGCGATCCCTCTGCTCCGGACGTGTCAGCCTCCTGTCGAAGACTAGCCAGCGTGTCCGATCGGATACGCGTCGACGGACGAGAAACCGTCTCGCGCAGCGACCGAGGCGAGCAAGGACGAGAGACCGATCAGCCCCGCATTCCTCGGCCTGGCCATCGAGCGGTACACGTACAGCAGCCAGCCGTCGCCGTCCGACCGTTCCCCTGCACGCGCTACTCGCGGCGAGCGTCCGAACGATGCGCCGCTCCTCCACTTGCCGAATCCGCCACGGACGGTTCGCCTCACTCCGATCCGCTCGGGGAACCTCCGCGGCGTTTGGACCGAAACGGGGATCGATGCGGCCACCGGGGAAACCGCAGCGGTGGACGGAACTTATCGACGAGACGAGACGAGACGAGACGTCTCCTGCTCGGCTCGGGACCGAGGGGCGCGTGCCTCTCGCGGACGGACGCGTCGCGGGCCCGACGAGGGTTGTTTACGCAGGGATGTGTACCGCGGAGAATCAATGTTGGTAGGCCTACTAACCGGGAGCCAATTGCCAGGAGGGTCTGTGGGTTACTGGCACACTCGTGAATCGCGGGGCGCCAACTGAAACACACCCCCTTCTCGTGCCACCGGAATGGCGCATGCCCTTTCACGCGAGCTTTTCAGGGACGTCTCGGCGCCGCGAAGACCCGTGCGAATTTTCGATCGCGCCGGCCTATCTGTTCGACTCCGGCGCCGCGGTTCTCGAATTTTCAAACTCTCGGAGGTTTTCTCGGGAGGAAATCAATTAACACGAGATATGCCGAGCGTGCGAGAATAGTACAGAAACATAGATACTCGAACGTTCGTAAGAAACGAGAGAATTACATCCTCTCGCGAGTAAGAGATATTTCCGATGCACCAAGTGAATTCTTACTTCGAACCCGTTCGCCCCGATTCCACCCCATCCGGTCTACCCCATGTTGAAACGCGTTTTACAGGAACCTCGGGGAGACACTGTAAGAGAGTAATTTACCTCTGACGTGTATCTGATCGCCCGCAACGGAGTACTCGATCTCGATCGAGCCGTGGCAGTTCGGCCGCGGCGGCTCGCTCTCCGGGCTGAATTTCAAGCATCTCCTGACGGTCGCGACCAGCGGTGCCTCCGGCGTGTTCGACACCGAGTTCAGCAAGGATTTCGAGCTGTGAAAGTCGTCGGTGACCGTCGACTTCGGGCTGTCCAGCTCCCAGGAGCTAGCTTTCCTGCCGAGCTCCTCGTCCTTGGGCGGCTCGTCGAGGCCGCCGAACAGCTCTTTCGGCGCGAACGCGCATTTCTCGTCCAGAGTCGAGTCCAGGTCGGTTTCCAGGGCGAGCTTCTTCACGTTGGGATTCACAGCTTCCACCAGGGTGTCCTGGGACAGCGGTGGCTGGCCGCTGGTCGAGGGACTGTGGCTGGACAGCCGCCTCTTCGCTCGCTTGCCCTCGTACATCTTCTCGTTGTCCTTGCGATGCCGCTTCCTCCGGATGCCCCGCTGCCTCTTCAACGTGAACTCGCCGTCCAGCTCGTCGGGCGGAGAAGAGAACGCCCAGGACATGGGGGACGGGTCCTCCAGGAGCTGACTAGCCGAGGAGACCGAGCTGTCGTTGTGGCGGGCCGACTCGTCCTCCGCGTTCTCCTCTTGCTCGACGATCGTCTCGTACGTGTGGTCCGATTTCGTGAGGTTCTCCTCCTCGCGGCTTCCTTCCAACACCTTCTTCCTCTCCTCCGCGTCCCCCAGCAGGATCTCCGCCACGGTTTTCCCCGTGAAATTCATCTCCTGCTCCCTGCTCGAACAGAACCGCGCGGTGAACCTTGGGTGATCGCGATACGAATTAGGTCGGAGATCTCGCGATTCTAATTCGATCGCCGACTCGAAAACTTTGCAATTATCAGCTTATCGTGAATGGACCTCTCATCGTTAAAGTTTTAAACGCTCACGGTGAATATTGGATGATCGCGATACGCATTACGTCAGGGATATCGCGATCATGAACAGATCGCCGACTCGAAAACTTTGCTACTGTCGGCTTTTCGTGAATCAACCTTCCATCGTGAATGTTTTAAATTCGCACGGTGACCATTGGGTGATCGCGATAGGAATTACGTCAAAGATGTCAAGATTCTAATTTGATCACCGACTCGAAAACTTTGCTATTGTCGGCTTCCCATGAATGGACCTTCCATCGTTAACCCTTTGCAGTCCGAAGTGCTCTTGGTTTCTCGCGTTGAGGTTCGCGTCGACGTCAGTCCATTCGATTACAGCTTAATATGCCGCTCTATTTATTTATTCAAGAATATTTCGGAATCATTGAAATATTACCTTTAAATGGTACAACTGTGATACAAATAAAGATAGAAAAAATTGTTAAAGGCAGAGGTTGCAATGAAATAGAGTCTGTCTCGACATAGGACTGCTAAAGGTTAAAGTTTTCATTCCAATGACGTCGGTCACGGTGGAATTGCATGATGATTAGTAGAATATCCAATAGAAATGTCGGATATGAAACAGGACTGCGAGAAAGCGAAGAGACAGCCTATAAAGAGCAACCTAGCGAGGATACGGCGATAACGACGTCGCGACAAGGACTGTCCTCGCGTCGCAATTACCCAAGGTTCGCGTCAACGGGAATGACGGGAAACGCGGCGTTACCTGTTGAGGACCTCCGTCACGGTGTTGTCCATATTTTCGAATTTAGGCAGATCCTGGTCGATGGCCAAGTGCGAGAGTTTCCCAGCCAGCGGCGTTTGGCCGTGACTCTTGGCTTTGAAAGGACTGACGGCCGCGGCGTTCTTGGTGTGGTAGGGCGTCTTGCATCGCGCGTGGATCTTCGTGATCCTCGCCAGTTTCGGCAGATAAGCGGTCTTCACGGAGCCGGGCAGCTTCGGCTTGGCCTCGCCGCTAGGGGAGTAGAGCCTGTTCTTCGCCAGGGGAACGGAGTCGGACTCCATCACGTCCTCCGGGCTGGTGGCCATCGAGATCTGCTGGAAGAAGTCCGAGACGTGCGACTGCAGGTTCGCCCTGGCCTCGTTCACGATGTTCTGCGGCAGCTCGTTGTCGCTCTGGAAGTTTTTCGCTCTGCTCTTCATAAAAAGCGCGGGATCGGTTGGCAGGGTCAGAGCCGTCGGGCATTTGCTGCCGGCGGGGAACAGCGTCAGCGGGCCAATGTCGGCGTCGACCCGCGGCGTGCTCTGATAGAAGCTCTCCGTGACCGATGATTTCTCCGGCTGCCGTGACATCGACTGACGTTTCGTCGGCCGCAGATTAGGCTTCGTTGCCTGCAACACGAACGAACCAATCTCTCCAGCCCCCGTCGTGCCCTTCGTCCCCGCGGCTGAACAGCCACTCTTCGACTGGGAAATATACAGTGTGTCCCACTTGAGCGCACTCGCTCGATTATTTCTGTGCCGCAGAAATGTTTCGGACGAAAGTCGTACGACCGCGGCAAATCTTCGATGAGACAAGGTCGATCAACTGCGAGCGCAGCGTACGTGCCTCTGTACGACTTTCGTTCGAAACGTCTTTCGCTTCCTGATAAGCGTCGAATTAAGCCTTTGCACTCGGAAGGTTTTCATTGGAAATGTTTTAACGCCTTCTGATGAGGTAGGGAGGATATTTTGTGAAACTCGACGAGAATTTACATCGAGGGACAAAGCTACTGTGAATATTTCTCAAATTGAAGCGTTATACGAAGTTTAATATCAAGTATCAAATTTTATAGTTTCACTGTATGAAACTGGTGAGCGGAAGGCACCTCTCAAGTGCAGAGGGTTAAACGTTAGAGTTGATCACCCTTTGCACTCGGAAGTTTTTCATTAGAAATATTTTAACGTCTTTTGATGAGATGGAGAGGATATTTTGTAAAACTCGACGAGAAATCACACTTACATCAAGGGACAAAGCTACTTTGAATATTTCTCAAATTGATGCATTGTACGAATTTTAATATCGAATTTTATAGTTTTACCGTATGAAATCAATCGGTGAGCGAGAGGCACCTCGAGTGCAGAGGGTTGAGCGTTAGAGTCGACGCAAGCTCGACACACCGTGGAAAGAGGAGCGTACCTGAAAGTAGGTTCTCAAATCGCTTCCGTGGCTCCTGCATCTCCTCCTGCGAGCCGGCGTGGTCCTCGCCGCGACGTTCTCGTCGGCCTGGCTAGGTATGTTCCTGGTCTTGGTCCCAGCTGCGGGAGGCGTGTTCGACAAGTCCCGAAAAGGTCTGCGGGGCGCCTTGTTCAGGCTAGGCGGGCCGTGAGGCGTCGAGCTGTTCGCTGACAACGATCTCGAAACCGTCCACTTCAGCATCTCTGAGGGCAGAAAGCGGGTCCGTGAGCACGAGCGGAGCGTCTTGCGCACGTTCTCCTCACACCACGTCGCCGGAGCCCTCATCGATTCCGCCGGCGGAAGAAATCTTCGCGGCGCGCCAATTACCGCGAAATCGCGGCGAGACGCGGCGAGACGCGGCGATGCGGGCACCCTCGAGGAAGCTAATCGCAACATCTCGCGACGAGGGCGCGCGCGACCGCGGCGGGCGACGACAGCACCGATCCCGGCGGGTCCTACGGCTTCCCCAATTACGATTCCGACCGAACGACAGAGAAAGAGACACGAGGAGGGGCGTGGGGGCCGAGGAGAATAACAGAAAGTCGGTGACGAAATGCCGAGCACCTGTCACGGCATACGGGAAACAGGGAAACGGCGAAACAGGTGAAACCCGTACACCTGAGTCGGTTTCACGACTTAACACTTGCCTCCGCCGGGCGAACGTTTAAACGGGGCCCGCGATTCCTGCGGCTACGACTATTCACTTCGCTCCTCGGCGCCCGCGGCAGCAGGGAGAGGGTTGGCCGGACACCGGAGAGAACGGTCCTGCGAGCCAGCTGACCCGTGTAATCGCTGATTCGATTAGCACCGAATGAATTTCGAATGATTCCGCTTCGATTCGAGCTCCCTCGAAGCTCTCGCCCCTCCCCGGCGAACGGGAAAGGAAACGTTCGAGGCTCATCTTTCGGCGCTGGAGGGGTCGCGGTATTGAGAACGGGGAACAGGTAGGGAAAGGTTCAGGAACAGGAGGAACAGGGAGGAACAGGAGCAACAGCAGCACCGGTGGCAGCAGGTTTTCACTTTTAACGGTTCCTAGGGGGGGCTGAACGGGCTGCATTGCGAAGTAGGTATAAAAATGCATTCATTTGCATACAAGCTGTTACCATGCCGCGCATGCGTTCTTGCCCCGAAACACGCACTTTTTCACGCGCGTCCGCGCACTTTCGATGCCGCCTCTACCCGCACACACGGCCACCGGCGTTCCCGCGTCACACGGCCGTGTATACGCGGTGGCTCTCGTGAAACGGTACGGGCACCTGCCCATATGGTCGAAGCAGGCGTGCACCGTGCTCTCCATCTGGTCCGGCAAAGCACGAGACCTCGGTCGGTCGTTCGGTCGGTAGGCTCGGTGTCGAACCACCGTCAACGAGACGATCGCTATCTAAGCTTATTTCACCCGTCCTCCTCTGTTAACGTATTCTATTCTCCGGGCGACCCTTCCATCGGCCATTCACTTCCCCCGGCGGCCTTCGAATATTAAGACAGCTTTCGGCGCCACTGCCACCGTGAGAAAAACGCTTCGCGAACTTTCGTGCCGAGCATTGTGTCTTTTGTTTTTCAATTGCCGAGGTCCTCGCTATTCGAGACGTTCGAGCTGCTGGAAGATTGATCTGGTACCCGCGGATTCTAACCCTTACTCCAGGATGTTTTGTAATTAGCAACTGTAACTAATTTTTATAGTATTCCTAGCGAAAATTAGAAATGCTATAACATTCCTTCGATCTTTTATTTTCCTCGTACAAAATTCGGATGTGAGTGAAATCTAATGATTTTACGGTAGTTTCTTTAAGATTTATTAACACTAGGTTTACGGAACGCGTCAATTTGACGCATATTGGATTTTAGAAATATTATTTTAACTACTATCAAATCTCCAGTTTCCACAGTCTAAACATACGAGCATCAATTCTTTTAGGAATAATAGAATGAAGTGTACAATAAATACCCTTAAACCTAGTGTTAAAATACTTATAACTGGCGCAATATTCCCACAGAGGTCAAAGGGCTAGCAATCTTGGATATTATTTCCTAAACAGCTATTTCGTATGCTCCGCGTTAACCTCTTAGCCACGACGCGCCACTATAGCGGCTCCGTCGCTACCAACATATCATAGGTCATACCCAACTGTATTACCAACTATTAAAGTAAATTGTCAAAGTTCAATTACGTGTATCATATCTTTCAGAAAATTTATAATTTAATCATCAAAAACTTCGTTCCAATGTACTCGCGTGGAGAACAGCATTGTCCGTGCGGAGAAAGCCCCGCGCGAAATTCAGCCGTGCCTAAGAGGTTAAAGATCCAGCGCGGCGTTTATCCGGAGGAAGCCGACACGCCGAAAGCATTTAAACCGTTTCGAATGTACCCCGTAAAAGGGTGCGCGCTCGGTTTGCATAACGAGCCGCGATTTGCACGGCCAGGAATGAGCTCCGTGCAATCCGGCGAGCCGCACCTGCGACCGCGCCGCCGTTCCCCCCTCGCTTTCCGTGTCCCACTAAATTTCAACGGTTCGCCTACGCGACACGACTTTTATCAATCGAGCGGAAATTGAATTACGCGACGGCGATTGATCGAGGGACACCTTGGCGCCGTTAATAATCGCAGCTGCGGGGTTTCGATGCCGTAATTGCCGGGCTGCGATAAATCCCGAGTTCGTGCCGGGCAGCAGCGCGCTTGGAAGGGGGACGACGCCTGGTCCACCTGTGGACCTTATCGTTTCATCTAACGATCTCCGGTCTATGTACCCAACCGACAAATGCCCACCGTGGAAGCACGCCAGAAAAAGAGAGGCCGAGAGGGCGAGAGAGAGAGCGAGGGCGCGCTCGAAACCTGCGTGCGTTACGAGAGGAAGCAAGTGCACGGGAGGGTTCGGCGAGAGACGTTAAATTCCACCGTCGATTTACACCGACCCTTTTAACGACCTTTAAATGCAATCCGTGTGCTACTCGGCTAAAGTCCTTCGAGTACACGCAGTGGGAGCCAGGACACCGTGACCGTCCTCGGAGACTACGGTGGAGAGAAAGTTCAACGTTGGACGAGGAGCTTCGACGTCAATTGTTGCGAGAGATCGTCGAGTACATCGAAGATCTTCATAGACAGTAGTTGCGAGAGAGTTCGTCGAATAGATCGAAGATTTTCAAGGACAGTAATTGCCAAATATCGTTGAATAAATCAAGGATCTTCAACAACAGTAGTTGCGAGAGTTCGTCGAATAGATCGAAGATCTCCTACGACAGTAGGTGCAAGAGTTCGAGGAATAAATCGAAGATCTCCGACGATAGTTGCGAGAGATCGTCGAATAAATCAACGATCTCCAACGACAGTGGCTGCGAGAGTTCGTCAAATAAATCAAAGATCTCCGACAATAGTTGCGAGAGATCATCGAATAAATTAAAGATCTTCAACGACAGTGGTTGCCAAAGATCGTCGAATAAATCAACGATATTCAACGACAATAGTTGCGAGAGTTCGTCTAATAAATCAAAGATCTTCAACGACAATAGATTCAGCGAACACGAAAATAAATTAGAAGTCGTAGAAAATGATCTATAGCCGGTGTCGCATCAAATATGATCCACGGACTCGAATTCCGCCGAGTGGGCGCGCAAAAACTCCTTAGCCGGCCAAACCGGGCCGTATCGAAGGCGAGCCGAGCGACAAGTGCGGAACGACGATATCAAATCGCTCCGGTCCGTGTCCGTCGGTTTTATAGCGTGTGTAATATCCGCGATACGGTTCGGAATCGTGTCGCAGACGCGAGCAAGGGTCGACCGGGTCCCCCCGATCGGGTTTAATCCGTTTCGGCGCTCCCTTGCCTCGACTAGTCGGGATCGAGCCGACTCCTCCGAGGAGGAAAATAAAATGGGGCGACGGTTGAGCGTTCCCGACGAGACAACACCCCTTTTTTCGTCTAATGTATTCCGTGGAAGCTGTTTTTAACGACTGCCGCGAGGATGAGAATCGGCCAACGAAAAGTCCGAGCAACCCTTCCCATCGAACGACTTTCCTGCCCTATTATCGTCTATTAGCGAAGTAACCTCGTGCATATTCTCGTCGACGTTGTCCTCTTCGTGTCCTCGATCTCGTCGAAATTCGCCCCTTCGCGTGCCGGTGAAAGGAGCAGAGGCGAGCAAAGCAGTAAATTCTAAGCGCGAGTCAACCGATCGATAGAGATCTTTCTTTCCGCCTCTATTCGTTTATCTATTTTATTGATTCTCGCTGCGAGCATTAGCTTACGACGTCTTGCGTCTCGAATATCATCGAATAGATCTGAGCGAGCAGACTGGTGAAATCGGTAACTGGTATAGATAACGTTAGAAAGTGGGCTCGTGCTGTTCCGGAGTCGGCGACTGCCATTGAGATTAACGGCGAAAGGGAATCGTGCCCGACGGCGATAGAATTTGCCGCTAGCGTCGCTTACGCGATTAATTTGCGTGAAACGCGCAACAGACGCATCGTGCGAAAACCGCCGGCACAATGCGATTACTCACGGTCCGAGGGCAAGAAAGAGGAAGCCATTAACGGTCTCGATTTACCTCCTCGAGGGTAGCCCCGAAGAAAACAAGAAACACCGCGGATCTTAGCACGAGTTTCGGCCCGGGCCGGCCCCCTTCTACGCATGAAGGGAGATCTACCACGGACGAGCCCGATCTAATTCGGTCTTGCGGGCTGGATCGCGAGGAGGAACCGTCGAGAGCCTTTCAAGGGATCCTTCGAGCGACAAAAAGGGAGCAGGTGAGAAAGTACCGCGCGTTTCTTCGTTAACGATCAGCCGGAGCATCGCGTCTTTGCAGCTTTTAGCTTCGATGGAATGCTGCTGGATCTCCGGAAGCTACTTGTTTCTAATTGATCAGATCTCATTTTATTTACGACGCTCTGCTGTTCATCGATACAGCTAACCGATCGAAACAGACGGAGACAGGACGAACGGTTCAAACTACAAGTTAACATTGTCTTAATAAATTACAAAACCATCGAGTGCAAAGGGTTAAAATATACTCTGCGCGTCCTTCGACGAGTACACGCTCCATTTTATCTTATTGCGCAAAATGAGAGGTTTTCCCAGCTGAATTCCACAGTTAACTGGTTAACGACACGTTCGAAAGACGAAAACGGCTGCGAGAACCTCCGTCAACAATAAAATCCCGACACCCGAGGAAAACCGACGGAAACCCTAAACAAAACCCTCCCAAACTTCGGCTG